TGATTTTATCTTTTTTATGGCTGAGTAGTATTCCACTGTATAAATACCACAGCCTCCTTACCTGTTGACAGACATTTAAGTTGCTTCCATGTCTTGGCTATTGTGAATAGCCCCATGAACATTGGGGTGCATACATCTTTTCAAATTAGAATTCCCTCTGGATACATGCCCAGGAGTGAGATTGTTGGATCATATGGTAAGCCTCTTTTTCGTTTTTTGAGGAATCTCCATACTGTTTTCCATAACAGCTGCACCAAACTCCACTCCCATCAGTAGTGTAGGAGGCTCCCTTTTCTCCACACCCTCTCCAGCATTTATCATTTGTGGGCTTTTGAACGATGGCCATTCTGACTGGTGTGAGGTAATACCTCATTGTAGTTTTGAGTTGCATGCCTCTGATAATTAGTGATATTGAGCATTTTTTCACATGCCTGTTGGCCATCTGTATGTCTTCATTGGAGAATTGCTCGTTTATGTCTTCTGCCCATTTTTGGATTGTTTTTGTTTTTTATTAAGTTGTGTGAGCTGTTTACATATTCTGGAAATTAAGCCTTTGTCAGTCTCATCTTTTGCAAACATTTTCTCCCATTCAGTGGGTTGTCTTTTTGTTTATGGTTTCCTTTGCTGTACAAAAGCTTATAAGCGTTTATTTATTTTTGCTTTTATTTCTGTTGCCTGAGTAGGCTGCCCTAGGAGAGCACTGCTGAGATTTATGTCAGGTAATGTTTTGCCTGTGTTCTCTTCTAATAGGTTTATAGTGTCTTGTCTTATGTTTAAGTCTTTAAGCCATTTGTGTACTTATGGTGAAAAAGAATATGAAAACAAATATATGTATGTTCATGTATGACTGAAGCATTATGCTGTACATCAGAAATTGACACAACATTGTAAACTGACTATGCTTCAATAAAAAAATATATATGTATATATACAAAAAAAGAGAAGCAGATGATGTGAAAATAAAGTTGCAGAGAATTATTGGAGTCATAGGAAGAAGGGCTTCAAGCTTGGCAACTCCTGGGGATCAGTGCAGGTTCAGCCTTATCTCCCACTTCCTGCAGACGGACGGTGAGGGCTGACGTCCTGGAAAAGCCCCACATCACAGCGAGATGCTGCCTCATCTTCTGACCTGTACAGAGAGTCAAGTGTGGTGAGCCCGTTTCAGAGATTTCCAGCAGTGAGCGGTGACCCAGAAAGGGCTCTGGGGGTCACGGTGTCATCTCAGCTCCCAGCAGCGGGGTATGCCTGTGTGGGTGCCCCCGGGGTTCTCTCCACACCCCGAGTTCACAACCTAATGAGTCTGTTTGATCCTCAGTCTTTTGGCAAAAGTTAAGCGACCACTTGGTGTGAGGCCCTCTGCAGCACAGTGGAGACACAGCTGAGGTGAGGTCTCCATGCCTGGTGAGAGGCTGAGAATGGACAGCTCCATCAGCAGCTCTCTGTCCGCTAGCACGACCAGAAAACTTAAACACAGAAGTGCATTCACTTGTCTGTGTTTTGATGCCAGTCTATAGCCACGCATTCTGAGTCCACTGTGCTTGTCCAGAACAGGCAAATCCATAGAGACAGAAGGTTGGATAGTGGTTTCCAGGAACTGGAGGGAGGAGGAGTGGGGAGTGAGTGCTAATGGGTTAGGAATTTCTTCGGAAGCTGATGAAAGTCTGCCGAAATTAGATAGTGCTGGTGGCTGCAAAACCGTGTGAATATACAAAAACCCACTGAATTGTACACTTTGACACTGTGAGTTTTAGATTTTGAGAACAGAATTGGGTCCAGAAAGAATATCTGACCTGAAATCCTATAATTCAAAGAGGACACAAATAATGTCTTTCTTTATAAACTCTTAAGAAAACAGTAACCATTTATTTACCTAAGTCCTTACCTGCAACCTCATCTGTGCAGAACACAGCTAAGAAGCAAGTAAAAAAGGACCAAACAACAAAATTCAGTTCCTGCATGCAAGCTCTTACACTTCATTCATCAAGTCTGCTTCGAGCCCTCTTCACTCACAGCCCGTTCACTGTCACGTCACATAAAATTTAATACCTTTGGCTGTCTTGTTTTCCATTTTAGGATAAATAAATAAATAACATTTAAGGATAAATACATAAATAAAAAATTTTAGAGGATGTTTCTATATGATAATTACTTCTCAATGAAAAAGAATGTTGCAAGTTTATCTTCTGTACCGACTGTTAATTTAATGATGTAAAATTTACAGCCCCACCGATCGTGCAGAAGAGCACCTGCTTCGCTGGGTTACTGTCAGCTCTGGGTGCTGTCCTCTTCTCTAGACTCTGCCAACCTGAAAGTTAGTTTAAGATCATTAGTTTAAATGCCACTTATTTTATTGAAATAAAGTAGCACATTTTTCATGTTCACGAGTCATTGTTTCTTTCCCTAAGTGTTCATTCAAGTCTGCTGCTGTTACTATGTTGGTGATCACATTACTCATTCTTACTCTTTGTAAAGATTCTTCATAAAAGAATAATTTTAGCTTTTTGACTGCCATATAGGTTGCACTTTTCCTCATATTTGTCTCATATCCAGTACTAATCACTAATTTCTTTCTCATATTTGTTAATTTTTTTCCATTATAATTTATAGTTTTGGTATAATATTTAGACCTCCCACTTTCAAAGACTGTAAAACATTCTGCTCTATTTTCTTCTCATAGCTTTATGAATTTAAGAATTTTATGATTTTGAAATAACTATGTAACTCTGAGGCTTGGTAGTGGAGGGAGGAATTATAGATATTTGGCAACTTTGTCCCACTAATTCTCATGACACCCAATATGCAATTTTAGTTTGAAGCCTGACATTTTACTACTGCATAGCAATCAGCACCTGTTATTTTTTAAGCAAAGAAATTTCCTATCAAAGAGACGTTGTCGTGGTTACTACGAGGCTACCTCTTATAAGCCTTAACAGTTTCAGCCCATATTCAAATACGTAGTGAATTACTGTTTACGCTTGACAGTGGCCAATGTCAAGAATCTAAGCGAGACCATGGAGATTCAAGAAGCACACTTAATACACAGAATCATATGTAAATGACATAATATAGAAGTTTGCAGTTTTCTTAAGGAGTTGAAAATAACTTGAATTATATCAGCTTGTATTATAATCATCACCGATTCCCTGTCCATACTAATGGGGGGAAATTATAAAACCAATTTCTCTTTGCCGTTGGGTACCTAAGTGACATAATGAATGAGTTTTCTCTTTGTTGTAACACATGTTAAAATCTATTAATGTAAAAAGAAAATATTACATTAAAAATAAAACTTTAGAGTTCGTTTGGTTTTCACAAATACCCACTTATGAGCTTTAATCTTTATATTCTGAACATTAAAATTATATATTTGGTAGAACTGTAATAAAATCCACCTAGGATTCAGTCTTTACTTCCACTTTTTTTCCTGTTAAAAAAATGGGAATACTCTCTACATTGTTAGCTTCCAAATGCTAATGTACCATGAATAGTCATAATTTCCTTGTAAGAAATAAAATAGCCACAAGTCTATCCATATCTTTTTTGAAATTACATTTTCAATCTTTAAAATCTCCTAATAGTAAGAAATATTGTAGATTTACTATGTTTGTGTGCAGAAAATATTTTCCTTAAAACTGACTTTTTTGAATTTCAATAGCTTCATCTTCTTTCTGTAAATATTTATTTCTGGAAAGAAAACATTAAGTCAGAATCCAAGTTGGCTTTCTTTCAGAACTTTGTAAGTTATCAATGCTACGTTTGCTGCATATAGCTTGGTGGCAATGCTCATCTGGGCATCTCAAAGGATTTAAACATTTCTACTTATATTTTCTCTCAGTGGTTATTAATCAATCATCTGATTATAAGAGACTTATTCATTAAAGAAATATTTACAGTGTCAGGTGCTGTGATAGACCTAAAACACAAAGATGTACACACAGTCTTGCGCTCAATGAACTACCACGGGCTGACAGCAGGTACACACTTGTACAAGGAACAGTTCTGGTCACTGCATCAAATAGCTTACACTGTAGAGAAAAAAGACTAAGGCACCTGCACCAGCCAGGGTTTCCCAGGGAAGCAAAGTCAACAGGCAAGGTAGGTGATAGCTGGATAGCTAGACAGGTTGGTAGGTCACTACATTTAGCAAAGGGCTCGCAAGATCGTAGGGCCGGCAGGTCTGAATCCTGCAGG